GCCACTGCAACCCATTAGGAAAGCAGTGAACACTATATGCATTTCTGCAGATAAAAATAGGAGGAATATATATGTGCCACAAGTTCTGTAGCCAGCAGGTGTTAACCTGCAGATTTTGCTATGAATGTAGCCAAATATTAGTATGTAGACATGCAGTATATTGCTCAGCATAATTGAGTACACCCCATTTTGAAAATGAATAATTGTATCCATTTCTCAGTAAATTTAGGCAATGCATTTCGGTGCATTTAAACAAAACAGATTCATTAAACATATATATAAAATAACATTTTAGTGACTAAACATATTTAGACATAGAAAGATAATAAAATTTAAATCAAGCAAAATATTGAAAAAAGTACAACCTACAAATTTTCAACTAAATTTTTCTTTCTTACTTTTTTTTTTTTTTTTTTTTTTTGCTTCTTTTGATTTTTCCTCTTTTTTTAAATTTGTCATATTTTCTCTAACATATACATTTGGATGCACTAGTTTTTGGGCCAGTGATAAGTTATTTTGTTAGATAAGCTCCAGATTTGGCTTTAGTCCTGACTAATCTAATCTAATGTATATGCACAAATCTAATATTGTAATTCCTATCAAAACAATAATTTAAAAGATAGATTTGTGAGGGGTGTAATTATATATGCTGAGCACTGTATACAGGCCAGTTTTGGGACAAATCAGATACTAAAGATTTTTTCAACGAATTTAACATCGCAAAAGCCTTTAGATTAAACTGACCAAATTTGTTGTGGATGTAATTAAATCTATTGGAGAAATTTTAAAATTGCACAAAAATGCATTTTTAACTACTTCTAAAAGTGGTTGAAAGAAGTCAAGAACAAAACATTTCAAACCTGTTTACTTCTGTTTTCAGTATAAGCTATAAACAAGGCCTACACTTCCGAAGGACTTCTGTGCCAACATGACAGTGTAAACAGAGTAAATTTAGCAATAGTGAAGCACAAATGACAGACTTAAAGTACAAAACTTTAAAATTCATGTTAACTATGGTTTAATGGAAATGTTTTATAGTTAAAATAGTATTAAGCATAACTACACACACACATATATATATATATTTCTAATTAATTAAAAGAAAATAAAAAAATTAAAAGAATAAATGCCTAATGCATTAAACTAAAATAATGTGATTTCTAATCACTAATTTATCAGTGAACGCATATTTAGGCCTAATCCCAATTCTATTCCTTAGCCCTTCCCCTTACCCCTCTACACCTCGTTTTGCACGTTCACATAAAGGGGTAGGGGTGTCCCAATGCTCTTTAGCATGAAGGAGTAGGGCTAAGGGGAAGGGCTAGACACCCCTTGAAACAGATTTTTCAGGCCCACACTCAAACCATAGGGTAAGAAAATTTCCCAGAATACACCGCCGAAAACAGCAGCATGGCTGCACACGGAAGTAAAGAGATGCACAAATGAGTATTTTTTGACATTGTTACTTATTTTTACAACAAACAAGCTTATGTATTATTACATTCATAACCACGTTCATATTTTACTGTCAATGCTTAAAAAAAAATGAAAACAGCTAAAATAAAAACTATTTCTAATCTATAATCCATAATCATAATTCCTGTGCAGCTGTCCCACAACATTCTGACACTCGATGACGCTACAATACTCTGTCAGAAAAGTCTAGTGGCTGGGCCTTTTTACAGTTTCTGGTATAATGTTAATGTTGTTTAGTGTGTTTACATAAAGTTAGATAAATATGGCCACATTGTAAATACACAGTACAGTACAGTACAGTTACGATCTTATTTTTATATCTTTCATATCTTTTCCTTCTGTGATTTCCAGAAGATAAATACCAAAAAATAATGCAACTGGAATAACTAGCTGTCACGATCGTTGATCTCATATGAAGCAAGAGATCTTGATGACATGTTGACGTGTGCTGGAGCTGTAGTGCTGTCCCATTTCTTAGGGGTAAATCTTAAAGCCCTTCACACTCTGTTTCAAGAGCCAAGTGGAAGGGGTACAAAAATAGAATTGAGATTGGGCCTTACAATAATGGGGTTTTAAATTAGTGCTTATGTACAAGTATGTAAACTTTAAATTATACAAAATATATTCAAATACCTTCATATTTGCTTTGGTTTTATAATCAGTGCCTCACAATTAGTGTACTGTATAAAATATAACTAAAACATACTACTAATGGTTAATATACTTTAAATTTTAACTTTCGATTAAACATAAAAATCTCATACTTTATTCATACTAATTGGCCATTTGAATAAATAATGTCTGTAAGTACAGTTTTATAAATACACTAATAATTCTGCATTTGAAGTACACAACAGTGCAGATGCAAAACACTTCTTTTTACAAATGTGCTGCAGTGCTGAGACTTTTTAAAGTTCAAAACATGCTGAGCCCACTGTGAGACATTTTATCTTGACTTTTATCTTCTGCCATTTGAAAAGGCGGGAGTGAGGCAAAAATGAAAGTTCTCCTCAGCAACACACACTCAGTCAAAAGAGTACCTACGTCTGCTTATTATCCCAGCATAACCAGGCCAGAGATTGGCTGCAGGAGGCAGGACTTGCTGACTGGTGCTCTGTGCCGGAAGGAAGACTGGAGCGGAAAATGATATCATGGGGTGAGGCTGGCACACAATCTGTCTCGCTGTGTGCTCCAGAAGCACCTAATAACTAACTCTATTCTCAGCCCAGACCCCACTGTCACCCCGGACGAGCCACATGTGCTCAGGTGAACCTTCATCTCCTCTTCGCAGCTGCTCAAGAAACATTGCTTTATTTAGATGGGTCAGATTGACAGATGAAAGGTGGTCGGCTGGAATGCAAATTGACACCTACGCATTCAGACATCAGTAGAAAATGCATTCAGATTAGCATATATGCTAATCACTGGCTTGTTTTTCTGAAGTTCTCAGGGAATAAAGCCCTGTTGGCACCGAGGATGGCAACTATTAGGATAACAATATTAGCATCTGAACAATTGCACAGTGTTGTTGCTTATTATACTGTATGCAGGATGCAGTTAAGACAAAAAAAGCGTCGGAGTGAACAAAATATTACCACCGCTCAATATTGCCTGCTTAAGCTGGATGGATGTTCGCTGTAAGGACTGGTGGGTGATGCTAGTCTTGATTAAATTCACAGATAATTATTGAAAGGAAATAGTTTTTGCGAGCACCTCACATGCACAATCAGACATGTGCACATGATTAAACTGCCAGTACACTGATAAATGCCTTTACATGCAATGCTAAATCATGGTTTCTGAAATAATCAGATGTTTGTTAGTTCTCAACTTATTTTGGCATGTAAATTCACTCAATGATTTTTAAATTCTAGTACAGTAGTTATTATCTGCCACATTGAAGGTAGATCCTGATTCATCAGCTAAAAAAATGTTCTGGAGGCCATAGGGCTCTATTTAAATGATCTAGGGCGCAAAGTCTAAAGTGTTTGGCGCAAAAGCATTAAGGGTGTGTATGAACCCACTTTTGCTATTTTAAGGATGGAAAAATACTGTCTGCACTGTGACACATGGTCTAACAGGGTTGTGCTTATTCTCTTAATGAGTTACATGTTTTGAGCACAACGTGCATTATACCAATCAGAGTTTCATCTCACATTCCCTTTAAGAGTCAGTTGTGTCATGCCTTTACTTTCACTAATAAGTAAAATGGTGTTGTATGCACTGCACTAAAGTCATCCATTATCCTACATATTGCATTTAGTTGGTATAGTGCAAAGATTTGTTTCAAAACTATTTCTAAATTCAGTTCTCATTTCCAGCAAATAAATAATTGAAGAATAATAACAAAATGTGGTAAAAAAATTTAGTTTCCTATTCTAATGCCCCATATGGTCTAAAACCCGACAGGTGGACAAATCCAGAACACCCATGAGTCCACAAAGTAGTGCAAATGGATTTGCTATTTAAAAAAACATGGCGCAAAACACGAAAATTACGGTTTCACTGGTCTAAAAATAACAACAAATTGCATCAAACACATCTTGTGCCTTACTGCACCAGATATATGAAAGGGCCCATTGTGTTTCTCCATGCCATTATTATTATTTTTATTGTTAAAGTTTGGACGCTTTTGAGCTATTTGTTATCATTATAGTCATCACCTTTGGTGTAAACAAGCTTAAAACGGAAAGTTGACCCAGAAGTTAATATTTACTCACTATTTACTTATCCACAAGTGGTTCCAAATCTTTATGAGTTTCTTTCTTCTTCTCATATTTTGAAGAAAACTGAACTAAACAAATATTATGGAAGTCAATGGTGACAGGTTTTCAGAATTCTTCAGAATATCTCAACCTCTAATTCTGAAAATGTAGCCCTATATACATGTCTGGAGGTTGCGAATTATGTAGCCAGAGGAACGTATGGCTGCATTTCATCTTTAAAACAAACACTTCAGGGCGGTGTGATGGCGTTTCTTTTCACAACTTCCCTTTAAGCTGATTGCTTACCTCAACATGGATAAATTTTCCGCTGTTACCAGTTTGTCCAGTAGCTCACTGCGTGGATTTGAGACATGATGACGGGGTTTAAGCTGCTTTGCGAAAACAAAAACTGCAAAAAGTTGTAGCTCCTGGGACGTATGTGGCGCTCTCCAGAAATAAATATAGGGGTACACAATCAGAATGAGCCTGGATTGAAATATCTTTTTTTGTGTTCAACTGAAGAAAGAAATTCAAAAATGTTTGAAAGGAAGAGTAAATTATTTTAATTTCAGTTTATTTTTCCAATTTTTCAATTTGACCCCAAATACCAGAAACTTTTTTACATACCAGAATTTTTTTTTTTTTTACATACCTTCAGAACAACCAAATGAAGTCCAGATTTTGAAGAAAAGTCACAAAATCTTGTTTCAATAAAATGAAAAGAGCCATTTTTGAAAAAAGGGAACAGTTGATTAGGGCCAAATACTATATACTCTAAACTCAAATTAAGGGTTAAACCTCTTTGCTTTTGTGTTGCAGTTCATCCCAAAAAGAAGAACCGTCAGACGTGTGTGCGCAAGAGTCTGATATGCGCCTTCGCCATGGCCTTCATCATCAGCGTCATGCTCATCGCAGCCAATCAGATGCTGCGCAACGGCATGGAGTAGCGACACCACTGTGAGCGGGGCGGAGCCTGCATGTGCATGTCTGTCCATGAAGTTTCTGGAAACTAACAAACAAAAACCAAACACCTCACTACTGAAAAAAGAGGAGCTTTTTATTCTTTTTTTATTCCTGTTCTCTCGTTACTTTTTTCATGCGGACCAAGTGACACAGGAAACGTACGGCCAGCCAAGCCAGCATGTTCTACACGGGGTCTCATCTCTCAGGCAGGGACTTTAAAGGGCTGACTTTCTGCTTTTCGTGCCACCTCTGTTCCCTAATGCAATAACACGCAGGAGTTCATAAGCACCTCTTAGACGACGTGGCTATCTCCTCCATGCTTTTTTTTCCAGCAGGGATTCGCTGATGAGCTTCTGCTTGGTTCGGGCCTGCTGTCGATGTAGGAAGGCAAAAGTAATTGGCAACTCATTACACCTTTGTGGAGGGAGAGCTACAGCATCCACTCCGGAGACTATTTATGTCTGCTCTTGTCAGAGTGCTTTTCAGGCTCTTTGGTTGGTGGGAGGCCAGGGAAGGAAGAAAGGAAGGAACGGGCGCTCGTTGTAGTCCATAATTAAATCCACAGTCATCTGCTCCAAAAAATCTATGAGCCCGACTCATAGTTTTAATCGTTCTGAATGTGTTTCTGCGCTTTGATTGTGCGATCTTCCCATGTCTAATGCTTTTTTTTCTGAAATGGTTTGTAAATGAGCACAGCAATGCAACAGAAAGGAAAGTTTTGCACATTATATTATATTATATTATATTATATTATATTATATTATATATTGGTTCCATTAAGTTGAACATTTTTATTAATCCCACTGGGGGCAATTAACATAGGGCAGTAGCATCATTACACAAAAAACACATTCAAACAAAATCACTCAAAAACAATAATAAAAAACATCCTAGAATGCTTCATAATATATATATATTTTTTTGCAGGTTAATTTGGAGAAATGTGTCTGCCAAGTGATGTAATCTAACTGTCAAAATATTACTTTCATTAGTATTTCTGTCTTGTTACTCAGTATAAATTTCACACTTCACTCTTAAAAGATACTGATCACACTTTACAATAAGATTCATTAGTTAATGTATTTACTAACATGAACTAAAAGTAAACAATACTTGTACAACATTTATTAATCACAGATGAACATTTACTAATGCATTTTTAACATCTAAATTCATGCTTGTTAACATTAATGCACCATGAGTTAACGTGAATTACCAATAAACAGCAGTATTTTCTTTAACTAATGTTAACTAACATGAACAAATACTGTAATAAATGTGTTGTTCATTGTATGTTCATGTTAATAAATGCATGAACTAACATTAACTAATACAAACTTATTGTTAAGTGTTACCAAAATATTTAGCGATTAATAAATACTTTAATAAATTTCAAATTATGTAAAGGATTATGTATTTTATTATGAATCGTAAATGTAGTGGTGTAGAAGGTTTTCTTTGTTTTGTATCATTTTAAAGTTTTTTTTAACAAAATAAAAATATTAATAAATGAAAAATTTATGTCTATCAATACTTAGGATTGAAAAAATATTAAGCATTGTACACTGGTTTGTTATCTACAGAAATATATTAAAATATATAGAAACGTAATCTTTAAAATGTTCTTAAAAATGTTATTTTAATTGTAATACTATCTAAAATCAAACAAAAGACATTGACCAAAAATAAGATGTAGCTGACATCATGTTTCTTATTTAAGTAGTTTCTTTAACAGCAATTCATTGAACACTTGCACAATTTAGGAAAACATGTGACATTATTATGAAGAACTATAATAAAAATAACTTTTCTTTCTAGTTGTCGAACTTCAAATATTTTATTGGGTAAATAAGAAATTAGAAATCATCAAAACAATCACAAGAAACCTGAAAAGTCATGTGAATTCATTGCTAATAAACAAAAAAGTGCCAAAAAGTGAAGAACACTAAGGCTGCGTCCAAAACCACCTACTACTAAGTAGATACTGCATTTAAATTTAAACGTACTACTTGGCCGTTAGAAAAGTATGTTTAATATAGTATGAATGTGAGAAGTATGAATGGAATTCAGACATACTACATCCGCCATTTTGTCATGGTCACATGACCTACCTGCGTCAATTGCGTTGCTTCACTCCCATTCATGGGATAGAGCAGCGTGCATGGGATGTGCACTTCAGAATCTCATTGAAAGTAGTAAGTCATCTGGGTACTTATCGCATACTGATTTTAGCATACTATATAGTATGGAAGTATGCGGTTTCGGATGCAGCCTAAAGCTGGTCGCACATCAGAAGTGCCGTTCCACAGCGTCGCACTATGCAGCGCCATGCATTTCAGAATTCTAAACATAGGTTTCTATAAGGGTACACACACCGGCGCCGCAAGTTGGCGGCTGTTGGCGGCTGTCCATGGTGCCCAGCCACAACTCAGGACCCTGATCATATTTCTGCTGCGCCACAGAGGGCCATCTGATTAGTTTCATTTTAAATAGCATGCGAATGTGCACGTCTGGTGTGCGATATTTTCAAAAGTCATGTGCGCGCCATGTCGCGAAGCTGAGCGGCGCATCCGGTGTGTGACGCCCTTATGACATCATGTACACTCACCGGTAACTTTATTAGGTACACCTGTCCAACTGCTTGTTAACGCAAATTTCTAATCAGCCAACCACATGGCAGCAACTCAATGCATTTAGGCATATAGACATGGTGATGGTGGTGTATTACATATTATTTACTTGGCATATTATTTTCGTATTTTCTTGGCCCACTTTGGGCCCCTTAGTACCAATTGAGCATCGTGTCAACACAACTGCCTACCTGAGTGTTGTTGCTGACCATGTCCATCCCTTTATGACCACAGTGTATGCATCTTCTGATGGATACTTCCTGCAGGATAATGCGCCATGTCATAAAGCGCGAATCATCTCAGACTGGTTTCTTGAACATGAAAATGAGTTTTCTGAACTCAAATCTCCTCCACAGTCACCAGAGCTCAATCTAATAGAGCACCTGGATGGGATGTGGTGAAACGGGAGATTCGCATCTTGAATGTGCAACTGACAAATCTGCATTAACTGCGTGATGCCAGTATGGGCAAAATCTCTGAGAAATATTTTCAGTACCTTGTTGAATCTATGCCATGAAGGATTAAGGCAGTTCTGAAGGTAAAAGGGGGTCCGACCTGGTACTAATATGGTGTATCTAATAATGTGGCCAGTGAGCGTATAACATTACATGTAACAGTATTAAAACCTCTGGAATAATAGAACATGGTCAGTTTAAATGAACTGCTACTTCTTTTTAAAATGCAAAAATAAAAATAATCATTAATAGCAAAAAGAAATGCTGTACATACATCTGAAACAACATCTGACAAAAAAAAACTTTCAGTAGTATTTAAGAAAAAAGTGAAAGAACAACTGTTCTACAGTACATTTTTAACATGTTTGGCTAACAAGCTAATAATAAAGAATAAAAAATATTTTAGCTAAATTGATGACTTTTTTTGATATTAACACAACCGTAGTAGTACTCTCAGGTCTGTTAAACTTATTTTATCATAATAAAACCTACACCAAATATTTTCTGGCAAAATTAGAGCAGAAAATGTCTTCATGATCAATCTGGGCCTGCTGAGTGAAGAACAAGATGTGTTTGCTTGAGGTTTGCGCCAAAGGCTTCAAGGGTTAATCCTGCTGAAATGCACATTTTCAGCATTTCTGGCTCATATGTTTCTTAGTGGATGAGCTTGAGTTGTCTTGCTGTGTTTATATCAACAGCCATTTTACCCCCCCTCCAAAATTATATATATTAATTTTACTTTACCTGGCCAATCTCTTTTTTTTAACAGCGTTGAGAATGTCCTTCACTTTACCTTGAATCACAATCATGTTTATAGTTATCCATGTGGTACATATTGCATCCAACACAATATTATAGCAGTTCGTATCTTTTTTAATTTAGTGGCTAATTTGTGTATTTGTTGGATCTCATTCGTACACTTTAGTTTGATTTGCTCATCTCCAAATGATTTGGGCACACACCTCCTTTTAAAAAACTTGCAAATTAAATCGTATGAATGCAGGCGAATTAGCCATTTTTCTGACAATACACAAAATAGTTACATTTCCTTGTGAATTCAGCCTAATTGCATCTTGGTCTGCAGAACATGTCTGCCCAAAAATTACAATGTGCTAATTTACTCACCCTCTGCCCATTTTTGTTGATCATTAAAGAAATATTCCAGCTGAAACTGTGGTTCATAATGATTTGTTTAATGCAAGTCAACAGCTGCTGGCGCGTTGAGAGTCAAAAAAAGAAAAACGTATACAGGCAAAATTAAATAAATATGTGACGAAACATTTATGTCTTATGAAATGAACTGAACATCCCACGAAAGAAATTGCATACAACACTGGCATAAACACTCTTGAGCTGGTTCAATGCAATCTCACGTAATTAAACATTTTGGTTTAGTGGCTTGAATTCATGTGAATTTTTACAATCTCATTCATTCATTTTGGTACAATTTGTTCACTCCCCATTAATAAAAAGGTTAGAGGTGGGATTTGGATTCTTGCTTCCTTTTAAAAAACTTTTTTTGCCAAGATAAAACCATATGAATTTGTATGAATCAGCCACTTTTACAACAATATGCTAAATAGTTACGTAAACCATTTCCTTGTGAAATCAGGCCTGGCAGGTTAGACCAAATGTGTTGTCTCACTGTAAAAAATGCAGGTCTCCACACAACTTAGGGTGCTTTCACACTAGCACTTTTGGTCCGTATCCGGATTTGTTTGATGCCAGAGTATGGTACATGTACCTAGTGTGAACGTTGTCTTCTGAACTCGGGTGCGCACACATGAACCGTACCCGAGTCCACCTGAAAGAGGTGGTCTTGGGGTATGATTCGTACAAACTCTGGAACGGTTCACCTCTAATATGAATGCAATCGCACAACAAACTTTGGTTTTTATAACGTTCATTCGTGTGCTTGTCTGTGTATACCTACTTTGGCGACAAGCGGGACTGACTCAGTGCAGTGATAATGTCTGCTTGTCTCCCATGCACGCTGTGCTATCCCATGATGGGATGTAGTCACTGAAGAAAGTGAACTGCTGACGGGGGGAGGAGGGTGGTTGAGGAGGGGGATCAGTAAAATGAGGTGCCGAATCAGATTTCAGAAGTTCCGGCACAAATTAAGCCCTGGTTGCAACACAAATGGAATAAGATAAGGTTACAAATTTCAGTAGATCGCGCATAAAACAATCATGTTGTCCCAAACAAATCAAGAATTGTGTTGTTTCAGCTCATTTTAAATAAGTAGTTTGAGCAATCAGCAAAAATATTTTTTTGAGCCAAAGGTTTTAATTTTGTGTTATCTTGTTAACTTGTGTTTGTTTATTTCTTAACTCTCAAAATGCTAGTAACTGTTGACCTGCATTTTACAAATCACAAATGACCGCCTTTTGAAACTATATGCTCTATTAAACAAAAAGGCAGGTCATTTGTATATTGAAGAAAACAAACAATGTTTGTGATTGAGTTAAATTTAAAATTTTAAACTTTAAATTTTCATTGACATGCATCACAGACTCAAGTCTTCAAAAAAAAAAAAAACGCCATTTATAAAATAGAAAGGAATACTGGAAGACGATTGAAACTCTGTGCCTGATGCAGTTACTCTCTTTGCGTTTCATGAATGTCAGTCTCCTCTAGACACCTGTATACGTTCTTCACCTGTTTCCCGAGGTCTGCTTCAACTTTATTATGCATGTGAATGAGCGGAAACCTGTAAATAGAGCTTTACATGTGTGTTTTCTGTTAGCATGATAGTTTTAAACAGTACATTCTGCACAGATCGCGTCAGGGCTACCGAGGGGGCGAGCGATATCAACACACCTCTGCCAGCTCTTCGTTCGCCCCCGAGAACCCTGACTAAAGCCATATTTGTCTGCACAGGTGTACTAAAGAGAACAGAGGTGCATATTCTGAAATTACAAAGCTATAATGTTAGTACGACAACCCCTTTTTCTCACTGGAATGTTGATTGACGAGTGGATATATTTCATTCTGGTACAATGGCGACACCTGGTGGCTAGTGTTTGAAAACGATTAATTCATTCATTTTGTTTGTCCTCATACTGTCCTTGTCTGATCCAGAATGTAACATAAGATTGTAGCATTCAGCTAGAGATTAAGGTGGGTTAATGAAATGATGTGTTGAATGTGAAATCTAAATATATTACTATATTTTGCGGTTGGGGGAGATTTTAGCAGTTAAAGAATGGCGTTTCAAGACAGTGTTATGTAATACATTCATACACAACAAATGATTTCAGATTACTTTAAAGACAATATTGTTAATGGCCTTTTAAATAATTAGGACTGCAATGTTGTGAACAAAATGTCCCAAGAATACAGATTAAACACGAGAAGGGTCTGTATGTAAAGTGGGTTGTATTTCAAATAAAGAGTTTGGTAAATAAGGGAGATACTGTATGGTGGTACATCGGATTTGACTGTAAGTAACTAAATGTATATATTTGCAGTTATTCACTTAATGACAGATCTGTACACTTTGCATGCAGAATATTTAGCTATATGTAGTTGAGATTAGCTTGTTGCAAGCTAGCCATAGTACATTTTAATATACATATTCAAATATGTACAGGACAAATGCATAGAGTTTATGCAATAAAGGATTTTTTTTAATGTTTGTGTTTTTACTGACTCCCTAGTGTAAATGTAAGACATGTTACGCCCCATTATTTATTACTGTTTTTTGTTGTTGTTACGTGTGTAAACTAAAAACCGGTGTGATTTCATGATTTAAATGGACAACCTTAAGTTGCAATAATAAGCAATATTAAGCAAAGCTAATGTTGTTTCTGTCACATGGATGCAGGTTAAGTTATTGCTTATACACTTTGGTATATTAAAATGTCTGCTGTCA